CTGAAAGGGAGTTCTACAACTAGAGAAATAAAGAAAACCCACTGACTGGTAGGAGGGGCGAAGGCATGATTTTCTTTTAATCAGGAAGGGTATCTTGGCTACAGAGACCTCCTGTGAGGAGCAAAGGGTCCCAGCCCCACATCAGACGCCCTCCCCCCCTCTGCCCCCCCCCCTCCCAGGGATTCAGTGCTGGGAAGAAAAGTCCCTGTATTTCAAGCTGTAAAAACTAGCAGGGATTGTGGCTGAGTGACACAGAGGCTGACAGAGTCCCAGCAGTTCCTCTTAAAGGGCCAGCACAGACTTAATCAGACTCATTCCCTCTGAGCTTCAGCACTGGAGCAGTAGCCTGGAAGGATCCAGGAAATATACAGGGAGGAACTAAATTGTCTGGCATCAGGGCAAGAACTTGGGGGCAGCTATCTCCCAGACAAAAGTGCTAGTATAAGTAATTGCTCCTATTCTGAGACCTCCCTTGCCACAGAGCTGACTGACAGGCACCATAACTGAGTCTACATCAACCTGGCTCACACTGTTTGCCCTGCCCTGATGACTAACTCCCCCCCCCCCCCCCCCCCCCACCTCCACAATTTGTAGCCCAACCCAAGCTGTTTCTAGCAGCTTTTTCATATGAATGGCTTGTCCTGGCTCAGGCTTCAGACTTTGCTAAAACCTCTCAAACACGCTGCAGTTGGTGTCAGGTGCTCCAAACTTATCAATAAAAAGCCCAAGACCCAGCACTAGCACCAGCCTACCTTGCTTCATAGCTGGGCCTCGTCTGGGCACTTCTAAACTTGATACAGATAGAACAGTGGTTGGCAAACTGCAGCTCACGAGCCACATGCAGGTCTTTGGACCCTTGAGTGTGGCTCTTCCACAAAATACCATGTGCAGGCGTGCACATACAGTTCAATTAAAACTTTGTGGCTGACTTTGCACCTCCCTGGAGGCCCCAGAGCCAGTGCACCCAATGGACAGCTTCAGACCACACTAGCTTACAACTCTACACATCCCTAAGTGACACACTCAAGGGGCAGACTCAGTGAACACCAAAGACCCACTGAAGCAAGTCCTGCTCCTTAGGGGTGTGCCTCCTGCACAGCTGCTCTTCCACTGTATTCCCAGCTGGTCCTCACAGCCAATGGGCCTGGAAGTCAATTTCTCCCAGTGACACCATAACAATCAAGGCTCAACTACAAGACTGTGCACACAGCCAACACTGGGGTGCACTTAGAATTCCCAGCTCAGGTGACTGGGGAGGTAGAGGACATCTAGGACCTATAGGACATCTAGGACACAAGGACACTCTACCAAGTCCATGAGCTATAGCAGCTCTACCCAATGCATAGAAACAAACACAGGGAAGCAGCCAAAATGTAGAGATCAAGAAACATTTGTGAATGAAAGAAATCTCCAGAAAAAAAAACCTAAATGAAATGGAAGCAAGAAAACTATTAGATACAGAGTTCAAAACTATGATAAGGATGCTCAAGGAACTTACTACCCTGTTTCCCCCAAAATAAGACAGTGTATTATATTAATTTTTGCTCCCAAAGATGCGCTAGGTCTTATTTTCAGGGGATGTTTTATTTTTCTATGAAGAAGAATACAGTACACATTTATTGTTAAATGAAAATAAAGGAAATTTATTACCTGCATACGGTATGGTAGTACGGTAGTTGTCAATACAAACCAGACAAACTGTGAATCCTACAGTCAAGAATTTACTCATTTATTCAATGACAATCATGTCATCATCTTCTGGAACATCATCATAACAATCCAATTCCTGAATTTCCTGGTGAATTTCTTTCAGAATCAGTGGACCAAATCTCTCATGTTTAGCAATAGCACTGTCTTTAAATGAGTAGTACTTGTCAAGGTAGCCTGCTCCCAGTGCATTTCTAATGCAACTGTCAGTGATTTTCTCCCATGAATTCTTTACCCAAGTCACAACTTCTTGCAGTTTAGGTTTCACAAAGTTTCCACGCTGATTTCTCTCCATTCTATTTCCAATGTAGTCATTAATTTCCATGCGCAAATTGTCTTTGAATGGCTTGTTTATTGCAATATCAAGAGTCTGGAGATAGGCCATCATTCCTGCGGGAATCATTATCTGATCTATTTTTCTTTCGTGAAGAAATGTTTTCATGTCTTTAGCACAGTGAGTGCTGGCTGCATCCCAGACTAGCAGACCTCTTTGGCTCTCTAGTATAACAAGTGGCAGCATTAAATTGACCCACTTCCTTATAACTGCTTGTGTGGCCCAGGCTTTTTCCGTTTCAAGAATAAAAACACCCAAAACACGTTCTATCTTTTCCTTCTTGCCCTTGGAAATGATTAAAGGTAGGATTTTAGTGCCATCCAGACGAATTGCCAAAATACAGGAAACATGTGCACTTTCGTAAGCAGTGGAGGGAATGTACACTAAGGAGGCACCCCGCTGTTCAATTGTTGTTTGAGATGATTGGCCCGTAAACACTGCAGTTTCAGCCATAGCAATAATGTTGGAAAGATTGTATTTAGAGAAGTCAGCATCATCAATAAAGGACTTGAATGCAAGTGCTCGCTTAATAACTTGAGTATCTTCCAACTAAACAATGTTGTACCGGTAGATCTTCTTAAAGACAGCTCACTTCACTGAAGGAAATTATCCAGCCAGTGTTGTGATGCTTTGAAGTCTTCGGGGGCTATGTCAAACTGTGGTGCCATTGCAAGGGCAAATTCTTGAATCTGAGCCCTATTCACAACCAAAGCCTCTGTTCTCCTGTCAACAACCCATTCACAGATCAGGTCTTCCAGCTCGGAAAATAATGGTTGCTGACCTGATCCACACTTGCGCTTTTTAGCATTTCCCTTGTCCACTTGTTCAATGAGGTTACCATACCCTGCTCGCCATTTTCGGATCAATTGGATACTCAACATCTTCTCTTTGCAGAAAGCAGTACAATTTTGGCCCCCAGAGTCTTCCACGATTCCTTTCTTGTACTTCACGGAGTAGCTTTTTCTTTTTTACGCTCATTTCTAGGGGTAAAAAAAAAAGGAATTGGGGTATCAAGGTGGGGGGAGGGGGATCACTTAAAATGACACAGGGGGATCAGAGGGGGGAATCAAAATGGCACAGGAGAATTAGAGGGGGGATTACCACTTTAGTAACCCCTTTTGATCCTCCTGTGTCATTTTGATTGCCCCCTCTGATCCTCCTGTGTTATTTTAAGTGATCCCCCTTCCCCCACCCCTGTGCCACTGAACACCTTCACCAGACATTCCCTCTACCCCTTTATCAGACAATTACCCCCTGGGACCTGCCTGGGGACTGTCACTGGGCTTGCTGGGGCCTGGATCTGGGCTGGAGCAGGGTCTGCCACTGACTGAGAACCTTCAGTCATCATGAGGGGGGCCGCGAGCATCAGGTAGTGTCACCAGAGACAGACCAGCACTCACCACCTTCGCCGTGTCCCGTCCGCTCTAATCCTCCTGTTCTTCTACACGCATCTGCGAAAGCCTCCTCCTCTCTCCCGCCCCGCGCTCAGAGCTCACTCCAACCTCCACTCCGCCTCCACACAGCAGTGACGTCAGGACTCCGTGCTAGACGCTAGTCGGGGTTGCCCTAGCGACCAGTTTATGGTAAATTAATTTTCATTCTGAGACAGAGCCTGAAGGGGCCTTATTTTCGGGGGGATGCCTTATATTTCACTCAGAAGGAAACCTGTAAGTAGGTCTTATTTTCTGAGGATGTTTTATTTTCGGGGAAACACGGTAGTAATAAGAGCTTCAAGGGACTTAGTGAAACTTCTAAGGATCTTAATGAGAATACCGAAGACATGAAAAAGGACAAGCCAAAAATTAAGCATTCACTAACTGAAATAAAGAATTATTTACAGGGATGGAACAGTAGAGGATTTCAAGAATCAAATCAACAATTTGAAATATGAGGAGGCACAAAATACCTAATTTGAACAGCAAAAGAAAAAAGAATCCAAAAATATAAAGATAGTGTAAGGAGCTACTCAAACAACTTTAAGCATACCAACATTAGCATTATGGGAGTGCCAGAAGAAGAGAGACCAAGATATTGAGAACCTATTTGAAGAAATAATGACAGAAAACTTCCCCTACCTGATTAAAGAAATAGGAAGCAAAGAGAGTTTCAAAAAAGAGGAAGAAATGGAGGACAAAAACCGACTTGATATACAGTTCAAAACTACTCGTATAAGGTTTTTCAAGAATTTCCTAGAAAAGGCCAATAAAATAAACGAGACCTATGAGGATATGAAAAGGGATCAACTAGAAATAAAGAATACATTGTCTGAAATAAAAAATATTATACAGAGCCCTAAAAACAGAATGGAAGATCACAAAATCAAGTCAAAGATTTGGAACATAAAGAACCAGAGAACACTCCTCCGCAGAAGCAAGAAGACAAGAGAATCCAGTTGAAGATAGTGTGAGAAACCTCTGGGACAACTTCAAGCAAACCAACATCAGAATTATGGGGGGGTCCCAGAAGAAGAGAGACAGCAAGATACCAAAAACATATTGGAAGAAATAGTAACAGAAAACTTCCCCTACCTGGTGAAAGAATTAGACTCACAAGTCCAGGAAGCACACAGAACGCCAAGCAAAAGGAATCCAAAGAGGACCACCCCAAGACACATTATAATTAAAATTCCAAGAGCAAAAGACAAAGAGAGAATATTAAAAGCAGCAAGAGAAAAGCAGGTAGTTACCTATAAAGGAGCACCCATACTATTGTCAGCTGATTTCTCAACAGAAACCATGCAGGCCAGACAGGAATGGCAAGAAATATTCAAGGTGATGAATAGCAAGAACCTACAGCCAAAAATACTCTACCCAGCAAAGCTATCACTTAGAATTGAAGGCCAGATAAGATAGACCACAGTCTGGACCATAAAACACAGTCAGAGACAAAGGCACTTTTTGGTTTGTTTTGTTAAAAACAAAAAACCCAGGGCACAGGATTTTTGTTTGCAGGCACTGACCTGAGGCTTCAGTGGAGAGAGAGCAGTGGGGACTGGAGTTGCCTGAAGAGAGAGGCTGGGGTGGGAGACATGGAAAAGAGATGGCCAGAAGACAAGCAATTATCCGCCCCCGCCCCACCCCACCCCATCCCTACCACCAAACCCCAGCAGCCCCTTTTCCTAAGGAACTCAGGCCCCTCCCAGCAGTAACAGCTGGGGAGAAGGCAAATACCCAACCCAGAGGGATACACTGGCCCCACTTTCAGGTACAATCACGTAGGCTGGGTACCCCTCGACGGCTGGGGTGGGAGAGCCTTCATATCATCTGTGACATTATCATGGGCTGCCTGATGGTCCTGCCCATGGTGCCCTCCCAATCACACATCTCCAGAGTTTTGTATGTGCCTGTGAGCAATCTACAGCTGCTTGTTGACTGCAGACGTGCCACTGGGAGTACACAGTATTGAGGACCAAGCCTCCATGCTGCCACTAGGGTTCCCAGAGGCTCCCCAAGCCTGGTGATAGCAGTGTTTGTGTGTGCTAGGACTGTTACAAGGATTAAATGAGCTACAGCATGTAACACTCTCAGCCTGTGTCTACCACGTGGCAGTCTGAAATCTGGGGCTGCCTGATGCAATAGTTTTCTTGTATTCAGTGACAACGCCACTCATTTGTGTTAGTGGAACAGAGCCTCTGAGCTCTCATCATTGATGTTTCTATCTTTCCCTCTCCCTTTCTCTCTGAAAGAAAAAATATATATGTATTTTTTTAAAAATAATACTCTTGGACTGAGCTGCCCGAGCTGCCGTGGGACGCGAGCCAACTCCTGCTCTACCCGACCCGCCGCCACCATGTCCCACTACTGGGGGTACGGCCCGTGCAACGGGCCCGAGCCCTGGCACAAGGACTTCCCCATTGCCAAGAGCAACTGCCAGTCCCCTGTGGACATCGACACCAAAGCAGCCGCTCACCACCCTGCACTGAAGGCCCTGAGAGTGTTCTACGAGCAGGTGGCGTCCAAGTGGATCCTCAACAACGGCCACGCTTTCAACGTGGAGTTTGACGACTCCCAAGACACGGCAGTGCTGAATGGAGGACCCCTCGCCAACACCTACCGACTGGTCCAGTTCCTTCCACTGGGGCTCGTCTGACGGGCAGGGCTCAGAGCACAGAGTGAACCAGCAGAAATACACCGCAGAGCTGCACCTGGTCCACTGGAACTCCAAGTACAAGGACTTCGGGTCGGCCATCAAACAGCCGATGGGCTGGCCGTGCTGGGCGTGTTTCTGAAGATCAGCAATGCGAAGCTGGGCCTCCAGAAGGTCATCGACGCGCTGGCCTCCATTACAATGAAGGGCCAGAGCGCCGCCTTCACCGGCTTCAACCCGCGGGAGCTGCTGCCCGGGAGCCTGGACTACTGGACCTACCCCGCCTTGCTGACCACGCCACGGTTGCTGGAGTGCGTGACCTGGATTGTGCTGCGCGAGCCCATCAGCATGAGCAGCGAGCAGATCACGGCATTCCGCAGGCTTCGCTTCAACAAGGAAGGGGAGGCGGAGGAGCCCATGGTGGACAAATGGCACCCGCGCAGCCCCTGCAGGGCCGCCGGGTCCAGGTGTCCTTCCAGTGAGGCCGGTCCCCAGTCCGAGGCCCCACAGCGAAGAGGACTGCTGCTCTTCGCCCCCAATCCCCGCCCGCTGGGCTCCCCACTGCCGCCCCTCCCTCCCCCAAATTCCTGCGCTTTGCTATTCCCCTGGGAGGACAATGGGCGATGCTCTGCTGGGCGGTGGCCTTCCTGTAAGAAGCCATTAAAGGGACCCGAGAGGACCTGCCTGTCACAGTGCGTGGCTGTGGCCATGGCCTCACAGGGAGGGGACAGACAGGAAGGAGGGCTCTGACCTGCATGGGTGAGCTGATCCGTGACGGGAATCAGGTAAAAAGCTCAGGGTTCTGTATGAGTGACCCAGACGGGACCAATGTTCTGACTCCAAGATGTTATACAAAAGAGATTTAAAATCCGTATATATTTATAGCAAAGTCAGCGTGCCTGTGACTACTGAGTGCAGTGTCCAGGAGGCAGAATCTGTAACCACTGGTCTCACTGCAGCCGTGACAGTACATTCGTGTGTCCTCTGACCACAATGCTGTATTTTGGATACATCCTCTAATAAACCCAATTTCTCTTTTAAAAATAAAATAAAATAAAATAAATATATTTGAAGGAATCAAAAGCAGGAAAACAATCCAATTACAAACTGGACAAAGGACCTGAGTAGACACTTCTCTAAAGAGGACACACAGATGGCCAACAGGCATATGAAAAAATGCTCAACATCATTAATCATCAGAGAAAATTAAAATTAAAATGGGGTATCATCTCATTCCTGCCAGGATGGCTATCATCAATAAATCACAAGTGCTGGTGAGAATGTGGAGAAAAGGGAATCCTAATACTCTGCGGTAAATAAGTGACCGGATTGCGAGAGGGTGCAGGTCATAATGTAGAAAACAGTATGGCGTTTCCTCAAAAACTTAAAAATGGAATCTATCTTACAAATACCAAAACACCAATCAGAAAGAATATATGCATCCCTATGTTCACAGCAGCATTATTTACTATAGATGAGATACGAATAGAGCCTGAATGCCCATCAGCAGAGAAAAATACAATGGAATATTATTTGGCTGTAAAAAATGAAGGATCACTTACACTTAGCATTAACCCAAGTGAGTTGAAAACATCCAAAACTTGGAAGTAATCAAGATATCCCTTCAGTCAGGAGTAAATAAATAAACTGTACTATGTCCAACAAATAGAATACTTTCCATATTAAAAAAGATAAATGAGATATCAACCCATGAAAAGACAGATAAACCTTAAGTGCATATTGCCAAGAAAGAATCAATCTGATAAGACTACTTACTGTATGAATCTAAGTATATGATACTCTGGAAAAGGCAAAACTATATTCTATCTGTATATATAAAAGCCCAAGCAACCGGCCAACCAGCCCACTATCTGGTAGCTATGATACACACAGACCACCAGGGGTCAGACATTCAACGCAGGAGTGGAAACCACAAGCATAGAAACATGGAACAGATTGATGAATCTAGAGGGAAGAGGTGAGGGAGGAGGGCAGAAAGAGATTATTCAAAGACCTTATATGTATACTAGAGGCCTGGTGTAGATTTCTGCACCAATGGGGTCCCTTGGCCTGGACTGTGGCTCTCTGACATCCCCTGAGGGGTCCCAGATTTCGAGAGAGTGCAGGCCAGGCTGAGGTATCCCCGTGGTGCACGATCAGGACCAGGGAGGGACCGCAGGAGGGCTCCAGAGCGTGTCCAGCATGTCTCACCCAGTCCAGCAGTAAGGTTATCTACTGGTCAGAACATCTACCCCCTGGTGTTCAGTGTGCATCATAGCTAATTGTCAAATGGTCACTTAGGTTTTTATATAGACTAGAGGCCTGGTGCATGAATCTCTCAGCCTGGCCTGCGCCCTCTCGCAACCTGGGACTCCTCGAGGGATGTCAGAGAGCTGGTTTCAGCCCAATCCCCACAGGCCAGGCTGAGGAACCGCAGAGAAGACAATAAAAAGCCAATGGGCTGAAGAGATTAAGAAATACAAATTGGCAGTTACAAAATAGTCATAGGCATATAAGTATATAGTACAGAGAATTTATACTAATAAAAGGGTAATATGCTAATTAGACAGGATGTCTTCCGGACAAAATCAGAGACTGTTAGGGGCAATTAAGCTGGCAGGGGAGGCCAGTTGGGGATGATTGGGCCAGCAGGGGAGCAGTTAGGGGATGATCAGGTTGGCAGGGGAACAGTTAATAGTAGGGGTGTCAAACTCAATCAGAGAAGGGGCCAAAATCTAAAATCCAGCCTAAATCGCGGGCCAAATGGTTTACTGAACAGTCATAAACTGTCATTGTGATGGAAACGCAGCGGAGTGCAGTGATGACAGCGCGGTGCGGGCCACACTGCAAGGCCTGGCGGGACGGATTTGGCCCATGGGCCTTGTGTTTGACACATGTGGTTAAGAGCATCAGGCTGGCAGAGGAGATTAGGAGCAATCAGGCAGGCGAGTGGTTAGGAGCCAGCAGTCTCAGATTGGAGAGGGTGTAGGCAAGGCTAAGGGACACCTTCCCCTTCCCACCTCCCCTGTCCATGCACAAATTTCATGCACCAGGCCTCTAGAATAGTAAAAAATATTGTAATAACTATCAGGGGATCACTTTATAAATTATGTAAGTGTCTACTACACTGTACACCTGAAACAAATATAATATTGAATGTCAGCTTAATTTAAAAATAAAAAAATATGTCAGTGGTTGCCAGTGGTTGAGGGTGGGGGGCGAGGAGGATTTACAGCTCGAGCACAGGTATTTTTAGAATAATGAAACTACTGTATATGATACTATTGTATAATTGTGGATAAATGTCATTTTACATTTGTCAAAACCCACAGAATGTATAACACAGCATGAAGCCTAAGGTAAACTCTGGACGCTGGGTGATGATGCTGTGTCAGTGTAGGTTTATCAACTGTAACAAATGTACATTTTCATGTGAGACTATACTAGTGGTGGAGGCTAGGGAGAGGAAGGGGGTATATGAGAAATCATTATACCCTCTGTTCAATTTTGTTGTAAATTTAAAATTCTTCCAAAAAATTAAATGCATTTAAAAAAGTCCTTTTGAAAAAACTGAAGAGGTATTATTAAGACTTATTCTTCCATCATCAACACTTAAGAGTAAGTGATGCCTTCAATGTTGAGGAAAAGTAATTTGAACTCTGTACCCAAGAAAAACAGCTGACATTTAGAATCATGTATGGGCTCAGAATTCACATCTCACACAAATTTCTCAAGTGTCAGAGGATACTCTTAAGAAACTGAGAGAAAAGTGCACCATAAACACACAGGAGCTAAGCAACCACAGATGTAACCCTGGAATGCAGAAGGCCAAAAGGCTATCTATGAAGCTGGCCGAGAGCCATAGAGATGGAGCAAGAGACCAGGGACTCAACGAGTTGTCAAGAAGTCAGAACCACACAGTAGGAAG